CCCCTGTCCACCTTAAGTTTTACCACTAACCTTGTATGCATTGTGAGTTTGGCAGCGATCGGTGAAAATCGCTTCACGGTATTTCGCTGTACGATGATGATGATGACGATACTTCTAGACGACTAATACAAAAAAAGTCCAAGGTATCCAGATGACATGGGGGAAGTAAACAGAAAATCTAAGTGGCAGATGCACGAGCCTTTCCGTTTTACGACACAGTGTTGTATGACCTACCAATATGCAGCTCCTCTAATTCAGTCTATCAGCTCAGAACTGGCTCTTTATCTTCCAATCACTGCCATCTTCGATGATTCTCTCCTTCGGAGTCATGTACCATGCATTGCAATCAGTGAACAATAAGTATATGCTACTGTGACTATCAAAGACTTTATTCGATCGCACTGTTACTCGTCTGGATGTGATCAGTTGGTTAGAACAAAACGTGGTTATTGGGCAATGAAAATACAAACACGTGATGACTGCTCTTTTCAGCATTTTATCAAAAACCATCTCACTGTTTGATAACTACATGGCAAAGGTGCCGTATAAAATAGTAAATAATCCTAATCAATATTGAAATGTTTTCAAATCACATAATAGTAATGAAGCAATTACAGTTTTTCGCTTGTGTTTGATATTCTGTTTCGGGAGACATCTAGACGAGCTGAACAACCTTGTCCTATCATGAATAAACAGGTTATGGAAGGGGAAGTTACATAAGTTGGGTCTAACACGTTCATGTGTCTTTCTTGTCTTTCACCGTCCTCCTCCAATCGTGCCAACTGCACACCGGATTTGGTTGTTATGGATGTTTTTCATAGCCGGCTGGTTTGCCGGTGACCGGTGTAATCCATGGCCAGTTACCGTCTCAGTTCAGCTCGCCGGATACGATGATCACAAGCGCGGAACTGTGGAAAATTAGTTCGGAACAACGAGCTTATTATTTATCCCAATTTATTCGTCTGCAATCTGATCCTCGAGCGAAACTGAGTGGTTCGCAGGCTAAAATGTTTTTTGAACTGTCTAAACTGCCAACCACCGAACTCTCAGACATATGGTAAGCGTGCCTATACGAGTTTTGTCATAGTTTTCTCGATTACTTTGCTAACAGCCGTTTCTGCATATTTTACATTTTCATAAACGTCTAAGTTCAGAATGTTTCGCGCACATCACGTTACAATAATATTCATAAACAGAAAAAGTTGTCCATGGTTTGCTCGAGGTCACAATACTGCTCGGTTGCCCAGGCCAAAGCAGGTGTATTTTCTTGAGGAGTTCACAACCGTAGCCCTCAGTTAACCAAAGCCCCATTCGCATATATATATATATATATATATATATATATACTCGCGGCATGCAACAAAACCCGTTGCCAACGCTTCTTTTCTGCAGGGTTTTCCTCAACAACTGCTCATCGCGTTCACCTTGCCGAGTATCAAACCTGATTGTTTAGCAACGGAGCATATCTTGTATCTTGTTTGGATGCGTATGCCATTTTTTATTAATACACAAAGTGAATTACAGTAAACGGGGAGATCCCCATGAATAAATAGCATATTGTAAAGGGGAGAGTAAAGGAAACATTCATGTAAGATCCAATTTATTGATTCTGCTTTTAAAAAGTGTGAGATTGTAATTTGGGGAAAAGCAACAAGGGGGACGGTGTTCCACGGTTTGGCAGTTCGGGGAAAAAAAATAGATTGGAGTAGAGAGGTACGACATCTGGGAACAGAAACCTGATAAGGATGACTAGATGCCTGTGTACGAGATGGACGGGTAAAAGTTGCAGGAAGAGGAACTGCCGAGGCAAGTTCCGAAGAACAAAAACCAAATTGGTAGCGGTAGAACAGGGATAATGAAGCAACTGCCCGACGATGGGCTAGCGACTGCAGACTGGATGTTAGGGAAGGATCATCGATTAGCCAGGTGGTCTTTCGTTGAACACGATCAAGAAGGGAAAGGGAAGAGGACGAAGCCCCACCCCACACGTGACTAGTATTCAAGAGCAGGGCGGATTTAAGCTTTGTACAATAGAAAAAGATGAGCTGGAGTGAAAAAACGTCAGGTTTGAGATAGAAATCCAACCTTGCACGAGAAACAAGCTTGGTTATAAAAGGGGACCAGCATAAAGAAAAGGTTATAGGCAATCTAAGAAAGTAAACGGAGTCTGTAGAACGGAGTTGGGTTGAATAAAAAAATAAATGAGGGAAGAATGAATGTTTTTTTAAAGAAATTGAAAGAAAAGAGGTTTTAGAACTATTAAACGAAAAGTCGTTTGCAATTCCCCAGGATATGTGTTAGAGATCAGAGTTCAGTGATACACTAACTGCACTATGATCACCATCGATGTTGGTTTGGGCATGGCGAGCAGTGCGGTAGGAAAGGGAGTAGCGGAGGATGGCGTCATCAGCAATGGAATGGATCGGGTTGGTAGCTTGAGAAAGGAGATCATTGATAAACAGAAGGAAGAGGGTGGGCGCCGACGGTGATCCACAGTTTCGCAGTTCGGGGACGGTGAAGTAGTCGACGTAGACGAAAGTATCTTTTAGGCCTTCGGTTGCTAGAATTTCATCGATGGTGCGTTGGAAACACGCAACGCCATTGGTAACGCCGAAAGGTATTCGGCAGAACTGGTATAGCCGGCCGCCTGCTTCAAAGGCGGTATATGGTCTCTCATGATGTGCGATTGGAATCTGATGATATGCACTTTTCAGATCCAGTGTACTGTAGACAGCGTAACGNCCTTCGTGCTATACTCGGTCGAAGTCCTTTGAGATGTCAAGAGAGATCAAGTGTGTTTCCCCGTGGTTATCAAGTGAAACTGACCAGGATTGTGAGACAAGAGCCAGAAGGTCACCGGTGAAATCAAGCGTTTGAAAACCATACTGGCGATCGCTCAGTAGTGCCTCACGTTCAAGAAACGCGCATAGCTGGTCAGAAATGATAGTTTCGAATGCCATCGAAAGAACAGATGTGAAGGAAATGGGTCGGTAATTGTTGGGGTTGGAGCGGCGTCAGCGGTGGAAGGCTGAACGTGTAGGGCGTATAGCACGGTCACATGCATGAATAAACCACTCAGGGAATTTGGGTTTGCAGGGTTTGGAAAAGTGCGGAATAAAAAGATGCATACCTTGAAGAACAATGTGGATGAAGTTGGAAACGGATTGGGAAATGTCCGAAAAGTAATAGCAATCGTTCCAGGGATAAGGAGCTAGGAAATCATGGAAACCGTCCCAGTTGGCTGAGTTGTAGCGCCAGAATGTGTGTCTCGAGGTGGGTGGTGACTCGGGGTTTGAGAACCTAATAGAACAAGAAATAGTAGAATGACTTGATGAGCCAAGAGGACGGAGGGTACGAATATCTGAGAAGAAAGAAGGGACCGAAGTGAGAATTAGATTGAGGATGTGGACACAATCGCCAACTCGATCAGGGACACGTGTGGGGAGGTCAACTCGTTGGCTTAGGCTGTTGACCAAGGCAAAGTGTTCGGCTTTGTATCCCAAAGGAGAAGTAGCAGATGAAAGTGTCAACTAGTCCTGATTGTGAACGTTAAAATCTCCCAAAATGGTAACACGGCAGTTGGGGTCGGTTGCAAGCAAATGTTCAACGTTCGAAGATAGAAAATCAAAGATGGAAGAGTTTACCGCTGTTGGGGGAATGATAAAGAACACAAAAGTAATGATTAAACGAAGGAAGTCGGAGTTTCAGCCACATCAACTGAAATTCATGACTGAAAAAGTCAAAATTAGGGATCCCGGAGGTGGCGACTGATTGGTGTCTGATTGATTGTCTAATCACGAGTGTTTAAAAAGCGTTTTGCATCAATGACGTTGTCCAATCAACTGAACAAAATTTCTACATCGGTCAACCAGAAACCGACATTAAAGCAACCGTTATACCGGAAGCAATCACTATTCACCACAATGGTCGAGTGCTATCCTATTGAGTAGCTCAATTAGGAATAATTGACTGTATGGTGCTTCATCTACCCGATGGTCCAGTAAGCTCGTCGATTCCGATTGAACTATCTTGTTTCTTGTTATCAGGAAGGTGCATATGATTGTTTGTTTTTATTTTTTATACTGTTATCATTACTGCTGGTCAGGGAATTGTCCGATGTGGATCGCGATGGTCAGCTCACTCTGGGTGAATTTGCCGTAGCTATGCATTTGGTTGTTCTACGTCGTAACGGTGTCCCAGTACCCTGCACTCTTCCCCATGCACTAATGGAGGTGATTACGAATCAGTCATTGTCTACCCTAATGTGCACTGGTGCTGTACCGGTAGACAAAACGGATGCGCATCATGAATTTGATGCGACTCACATCATTCCTCCGGACACTACCGGTGGCCCCGCTGTAAATGCGTCCGTGAACAGCGCGTTTCCCATCCCGGGAAACCGTCCTTGGCCAGGGTCTCCTACATGTTCTTCCGTTGCTGTGACTCCAGTGTCTGCTCGTCAACGACGTTGGTCCATTTCTAGCCAAAGTGATATTTCCTCACTGGCTGAAGGGATCATACATTTCGAAGCCAAACCAAACGCAGATGGTCATGTAAGTTACGTTGCTTTCACTGAAGAAGAATAATATTACACCTGTGCTGAGACGAATCGGCTATATTGAATATCTTTCGTAGTACAACTTTATCTACGAAGCTGAATTCGAATTCCTGTAAGGCTGGGATGGTTTCATATCAAATATCAAATAATTTATTGATTAAAATGACTCAGGCATAATAAAGGTATTGTAATTCTGTTTTGTCGATACTGTGTTGCCGTTCCTTTGTTTTTGAGCATTTGGCCTAGTCGGTGTGGCTTAGAGTTCACTGAGTAGACTATCAAATTCAAATTTGTCAATTTCCTCCAGAATATGTCTTCTCGTGGATTCTCCGAGTGGCTGACTGATTTCCGGGTAGCCAGCCATTCTACTGAATACTGATCGTTTGCAGTTTTTCTTAGCTGAAATTGAATGTATTCTTCCTGATGCATCAAGGTGGCCTGACTTCGTTCTCTGCTCTGATGTCTTCGTGGAGCTATTCCTTTGTTTATGCTATTATTATTCACATCGCATCACTCGCACAAGTCCGGAACCAGCGATATGTCGAACTTATATGCCTCTTGATTACGTTCTCTTGGTTTTATTTGTCCATTCAAACCCCTTGGAGGTTTTATTCGGTTTGGATATGGTGATAATTAAAAATCGCTTATTCAGTGACCCTTGAATTTCAAGGTCAAATTTTGGGGGTTGATGTTCACGTTTTACACTCTAAATAATGACATATATGTGAAAATTTTGTAGCCGCATAATTTATCAATTTATTTAAGATGAGAAGTTATGACTTATCAGTAGATTTACTCCTCTTTGTGATGGTAGCGCAGTCACACTGTCACATGCGTGCTTTGGACCCTATCGTCCGCGGTTCGAGCCCCTGCCACAGCCACCCATTTTTGGTTTTAGGCAGCTTTGCTGTCGTCCGGTTCAATACCTCGCCTGAACAAGCGGGGCCTTATGTGATTTGCCACTCCAAGTCCCGGAGCTTAGCTTACCGGTTACCATCACTAGCGTCAGATCTGCTGTTCATCACGAACCTTGTGTAATAAAAAAACTTTGTATTTGTAAAAAGATAAGCTAATTAGCATGCTTTCTTTGACCAGAATAAACATCCTCGTGGAACAGCATGCGTCTATGAGAAAGCATCAAGTTCCCGGCTGTTCTACATCGGATATTATTTATATTATTATTTTCAGCTGTAACTTTGGAACTACTAAAAATTCTATCGTGACACTCAAGCTCGTGACAATTCAAATAGTGATACAAGAGAATTAAGAACTTTGCGGCAGTATCGGAGGAGTCTA